AAACATAACATCATAGGAGCAGTTATCCTACATGGAGGGGGCAAAAGTAGGAGACAGTCGTCCATCAGGCAGGACATCATGGGAGAGCAGACAGTTATCCCCCCATGCAGGATATCATGGGAGAGCAGACAGTTATCCCCCCATGCAGGATATCATGGGAGAGCAGACAGTTATCCCCCCATGCAGGATATCATGGGAGAGCAGACAGTTATCCCCCCATGCAGGATATCATGGGAGAGCAGACAGTTATCCCCCCATGCAGGATATCATGGGAGAGCAGACAGTTATTCCCCCATGCAGGATATCATGGGAGAGCAGACAGTTATTCCCCCATGCAGGATATCATGGGAGAGCAGACAGTTATCCCCCCATGAAGGATATCATGGGAGAGCAGACAGTTATCCCCCCATGAAGGATATCATGGGAGAGCAGACAGTTATATCATGGGAGAGCAGACAGTTATCCCCCCATGCAGGATATCATGGGAGAGCAGACAGTTATCCCCCCATGGGATATCATGGGAGAGCAGACAGTTATCCCCCCATGCAGGATATCATGGGAGAGCAGACAGTTATCCCCCCATGCAGGATATCATGGGAGAGCAGACAGTTATCCCCCCATGCAGGATATCATGGGAGAGCAGACAGTTATCCCCCCATGCAGGATCTCATGGGAGAGCAGACCGTTATCCCCCCATGCAGGATATCATGGAAGAGCAGACCGTTATCCCCCCATGCAGGATATCATGGAAGAGCAGACCGTTATCCCCCCATGCAGGATATCATGGAAGAGCAGACAGTTATCCCCCATGCAGGATATCATGGGAGAGCAGATAGTTATCCTCCATGCAGGACATCAGCAGAGAGCAGACAGGCATCCCAAAATTCATCACGGGAGAGTATACATCTATTCACCATGCAGGACATAAAGCGAGAGAAGACAACTGACTCCATTGCAGAGCATACAGCCATTATCCATGCAGGGCATCATGGGAGAGCAGACAGCCATTCTCCTTGCAGAGCATCAGTGAAATGAGCAGACAATAGTCTACTAGGCAGGGCATGATGGAAGAGTAGGCAGTTTGTCCTGCAGAAAGAACATTATAGGAGAGCAGACTGTCGTCTCTTATTCAGGGCCTCAACAAAGAGCAGACAGTTGTCCCCATATAGGGCAACATAGGAAACCAGTCAGTAGACCCATGCCGCTCATTATGGAAGAGCAGATAGTTGTCCCCCATGCAGCACATCATGGGAGACCAGGCAGTAGTCCCAGTGCAGAGCATCATGGGAGACCAGGCAGTAGTCCCAGTGCAGAGCATCATGGAAGACCAGGCGTAGTCCCGCGCAGAGCATCATGGGAGACCAGGCAGTAGTCCCGGTGCAGAGCATCATGGGAGACCAGGCAGTAGTCCCGGTGCAGAGCATCATGGGAGACCAGGCAGTAGTCCCGGTGCAGAGCATCATGGGAGACCAGGCAGTAGTCCCGGTGCAGAGCATCATGGGAGACCAGGCAGGAGTCCCGGTGCAGAGCATCATGGGAGACCAGGCAGGAGTCCCGGTGCAGAGCATCATGGGAGACCAGGCAGGAGTCCCGGTGCAGAGCATCATGGGAGACCAGGCAGGAGTCCCGGTGCAGAGCATCATGGGAGACCAGGCAGGAGAGATCATGGAGACCAGGCAGTAGTCCCGTGCAGAGCATCATGGGAGACCAGGCAGGAGTCCCGTGCAGAGCATCATGGAGACCAGGCAGGAGTCCCGGTGCAGAGCATCATGGGAGACCAGGCAGGAGTCCCGGTGCAGAGCATCATGGGAGACCAGGCAGGAGTCCCGGTGCAGAGCATCATGGGAGACCAGGCAGGAGTCCCGGTGCAGAGCATCATGGGAGACCAGGCAGGAGTCCCGGTGCAGAGCATCATGGGAGACCAGGCAGGAGTCCCGGTGCAGAGCATCATGGGAGACCAGGCAGGAGTCCCGGTGCAGAGCATCATGGGAGACCAGGCAGGAGTCCCGGTGCAGAGCATCATGGGAGACCAGGCAGGAGTCCCGGTGCAGAGCATCATGGGAGACCAGGCAGGAGTCCCGGTGCAGAGCATCATGGGAGACCAGGCAGGAGTCCCGGTGCAGAGCATCATGGGAGACCAGGCAGGAGTCCCGGTGCAGAGCATCATGGGAGACCAGGCAGGAGTCCCGGTGCAGAGCATCATGGGAGACCAGACAGGAGTCCCGGTGCAGAGCATCATGGGAGACCAGACAGGAGTCCCATTGCAAAGCATCATGGGAGACCAGGTAGTAGTCCCATTGCAAAGCATCATGGGAGACCAGGTAGTAGTCTCGGTGCAGAGCATCATGGGAGACCAGACAGTAGTGCCAGTGCAAAGCATCATGGGAAACCAGACAGTGTATAATAGGAGAGCTGCCAGGCAGTGTATAATAATAATAGGAGAGCTGCCAGGCAGTGTATAATAATAATAATAATAATAGGAGAGCTGCCAGGCAGTGTATAATAATAAGAATAGAAGAGCTGCCAGGCAGTGTATAACAATAAGAATAGGAGAGCTGCCAGGCAGTGTATAATAATAATAATAATAAGAATAGGAGAGCTGCCAGGCAGTGTATAATAAGAATAGGAGAGCTGCCAGGCAGTGTATAATAATAGGAGAGCTGCCAAGCAGTGTATAATAATAATAATACGAGAGCTGCCAAGCAGTGTATAATAATAATAATAGAAGAGCAGCCAGGCAGTGTATAATAATAATAATAGGAGAGCTGCCAAGCAGTGTATAATAATAATAATAATAGGAGAGCAGCCAGGCAGTGTATAATAATAATAATAATAATAATAGGAGAGCTGCCAGGCAGTGTATAATAATAATAATAATAGGAGAGCTGCCAGGCAGTGTATAATAATAATAATAATAATAATAATAATAATAGGAGAGCTGCCAGGCAGTGTATAATAAGAATAGGAGAGCTGCCAGGCAGAGCAATGCGCAGAGCATACCGTTGCAGAGCATTGCCCCCCCCCCCCTGCCCGGTGTGCGAGTCTCACCCATCTCCATTCCGGGCTGCTCTCCCCGGGCTGTGTCCATGAAGCGGCCCCCGAGGCCTGCACTGGGGGGGCCCAGGATTCCTCTCCGAGCCCGGCCTGCTCTGCCCGGACACTCACACCCTGCTCAGCGCCGACCCTTCTCGGGGTGTCCCCTCACAGGCCCGCGGGCGGCTCCGGGTCACCTCATATCCGGGTGTCCTCGGTCTTCGGGCTCCCAGGCCTTACGCAAGCGCGGGTCTCAGCTAGCAACAAGACCACCGAGCTGTCAATCACCGCGGGGCGGGAGCAAGAGCAGCCAATAGGATCCCGCGCCCGTACGTGGAACGCAAATGGAACGCTAGCTCGGCGGTGGGCGGGGCCTCCCGTGACAGCTGTCACTGACAGCAGGCGGAGCTTGGCAGTTGCCATGGCGACCAGAAGCCAAGGGCTAACTCCAGTTCTCTGATGCGGTATCTGCGGGGCTATTCACTAACCCCCGAGAGCTTGCAAAGTCTAAACCAAAATAACCCAACTGGGATCAAAATATCCAACTATAAATTGTAAAAAAAAATAAAAATCAATAAATAAAAAAAAACAAAAAAAAAATAAAAGTTTAAAATTTTAGCCCAAAATTAAAAAGAAAACCCCCCACGGCTCCTATATTTTCAGTTTGGCTACTTTAGCCCAATATTTAAAAATCACATCGAATTTCTGACAATTCACAAACTGGCGAAAAACTGTACCTCTTTGATTCAAAGCCACTTTTCAGACTAAATCCCCCCCATCATTCCGTTTTTGGAACTATACCAAAGCAAAATGTAAACAAACATCGAAAGATAATTTCACCCCGCCCCAACAAAATAAATGTAAAAATTATGTACGCTACAGTCTATCAAATGAGAGCGTGTCACAAACATGAAAGCACCTTTACCAATGTATACTGACACACATTAACCAATAAGGACACTCACTTCGATCGAACGTTCTTCTAGAAGCCACCTGGACCTACACCAGTCCCTCCATAGCCAATCAACGCGCTGACTACTATAAACTAAAGCAACATTTTAGCAGCACCAGACTAGAGCAGACCAATATGGGACTGACTGGGTAACAGGACTACATATGAAATATCTCGGTCTCCCAGTCAGGTCCTTTCCAGAGATAAATCACACTGCAAGAAATGTTTGGTGTGTCAACTTGGGCACATATGCCATAAATTCGACATCCCTGCTATAGGTTATTTTCCAATCCTTGCTCCAGAATGGCACCCTACTAAAACCAACACTGGATCAAGCTACCCCTGTGCCCCTAATACAACTACTCCTTTCCCAATCTAACCTAAAACGCAACATTTCTTTATATTCTAAGCAAACGCCCAAATGTTCCCATAGCACGTTCTCTTGCAGAAAAAGTTTAAATACATTAAACATATTTTTCAGCTGAAACCTTCAGCCAAGGGAGAGTATCTAAAGTTGGGCAAAACAGACATTGATAGAACGGAACTAATACACAAGAATGACCTTAACTACCTACCCAGTTCACGGTCAAATACTTTGAAAACAAAACACGTTTACTCCTTATTGTGGAGCCAGAAGACTCCATTTATCGTAATCACTAAAGCACACTGGTTATGTTGCTTAACAAGCCCAATTAGGAAATGTATCAATGCAACCCTTGGACTTGTTTTAGAAAAAAATAAAAAAATAAATAAATAATATTTTAACCCCGTAAGGACCAAACTTCTGGAATAAAAGGGAATCATGACAGGTCACACGTCATGTATCCTTGAGGGGTTAAACTTTGCATTAATTTCAAACTTGCCACCCTCCCATATATACAAATCTTGGCTACAATCACAACTTGGCAATTTAGTTACAGCAATCCAAAATAAATAAATAAAAGCTTCAAACGGATATGATACACACACATTAGTTGCTTTACATACCATTTTATTTTTCTTTCAATTAGAATGCATGTGGTATATAAAACATTCTTCAATTAGTGGACAATTCTTTTTATAATAAATAAATAAATTCAATTGGCGGATTTAAACCAGGTAAAATAGATATTGAAGAATAGGGATTTAGAAGACTCCCTGAGTAGTGTATGATTTCATGTTCCTGCTGAATATGGGACAGATTTGGTAACAAGACTTCATATGCCCAATGTGAAAGTAAAACCTTTAAAAACTAATCAATACATTGCTGTTTAAATAACATGATCTGCTCTAGCATGTGCTAATTAGATACTGGTTTCCACTGGAGTCAAATCTACTCTTGATCAGTATCATACCTGTCTGCACTCTCCTGTATTTAGTTTTAACAGTAGCACCTGAGGATAGCAATTAAAAGTTAAAAAATAAAAGTATTCCTAGCACTATAGTATCCCTTTAAAAAACAAACTGTAAAATTTAGACCATGATAGCATATTTGGAAGCATTTATTCATTTCAGCTATAGCCACAGCTCTGATTTTTTTTGCATTTCTCCAGAGCTTGGTGAAATAAATCCAAAAGAGCTCAAGGGCTGTTGAGTTACTAGAGAAGAGGATATCGAGTTTATGATTGGTGGATGGTAAGTGAAAGAGATGCATTAGTACATTGGCGTGGATCTGTTCAGAGAATCTGTCGAAAGGGCAACCAAAGATTTCTCTTGATGATGTTCAAAAATGAGGGCTCAAATAAAAAATATAAAGTTATTTTATATTAGAACTGAAGGGAGTTGGAAGCACAGCCACATTCTATTGATGTGTGTCAAAACTTGCAGATGGTCAATAGCTCAAAGTCACTTTCTGACAACACGTCCCACGTTGGCGGTCTCTTTACCCGCCGTTATTTACAGACCGTGGATAAAAGGTGACATACTTTATCAGATGTGGCTTAAAGTACTTGGATAAGACAGAATCCTGGGTACTGTCTTCATTCTGTGATTTTCTGATCTACTCAATGTTGTCGTAGACCCGCATAACGTCCGGCTGGTTGTTTATCAATTCTAGTAGTTGTGATGCCGATTCCATGTCAGTGTCTGAGAGGTTGATTTTGATATTTGGAAGAAACTCCAGTCCAGAGGAGATTGGCACTAATCCCAAAGACACCAAATTGGATCTGACATCATGTAAGGATGGCACGTCACAGATATACTGGAGAGATAAGCGATACAACATGGGTCAGAGAACAGAGGGTGAGGTTGTATCAGAAAATAAAAGACGAAGAAGCCAAAAGTTTATCATTATGCAACAAACTCACTATAATAAATGCACAATGGGAATTAACATGAGAACTGCAAATTTTAAAGGAATGCTATAGTACCAGGATTACAAAGCTGTATTCCTGGTTCTATCGCTCCCTTCTCCCTCACCCAGTAAAAAAAGGGTTAAAAACCCTTTATTTTCTTACCTGATCCCTCCACCGATGTCCTTCGGCACTGGATCAAATCTCCTCCTTCATCCTGCGACAAGCAGGTTCTAATGTGCACAAATGCCGCGCGCATTAGACCTCCCCATAGGAAAGCACCTCTAGTGGCTGTCTGGGAGAGAGCCACTGGAGGCAGACTTAGAGCTGCCATGTAAACATTGCAGTTTCTCTTGACCTGCAATGTTTAACATTGCAGCAATAAGGGCAATAGGGACACTGTAACCAGATCACTGTAATTAGCTGAAGCGTTCTGACTGCCTACAGTGTCCCTTTAAGTAAAAATAGCGGAATTGGAGAATTTTTACAATTTGGTTATTTAGTGGTAATAATTCCCAGTCTAGTACATAAAATGCATATTTATACAAGGTTGGAACCTAGCTAGCCTTTGCAGGGCTCTGAGACAGGCGAGCATGATGTCACTCAAAGCCCTGTATTAGAATCAGGGGGACAGGAGCCCTTCAAGTGTATCTAGCTTTCTAATCTCCACTAAAAACAAGTGCAGATACTGTATGTCGTATTACAAGCCACATAAGACATATTTTACACACTAAAACCTCTAAAGTGAGAATTCAAGGCGAATTTCACATTTAAGACCAAAGTAGCCAAACTGGAAGCATAGCCGACTTAGAGAATGATTCCAGTTCACCTAGTTTGAAGTTCACTTTAAATAACCCTCATTGGTTAACTCTTTCCTCGCCATGTTCCATTATTATTATTATTTTTTTATATAGCGCCAGCAAATTCCGTAGTGCTGTTCCATCACACACCACCCTTAATTCTATAGCACCTTTTTGCTCACCCTGTACACATCATTTTCCTCATCGTCTTCTGTTTCCTGCACATCCTCAGCTCCGGCTTCTATAGCCAGTTCCAGTGCCCGTTCCAGCTGCACAGGGTTTCCTTCGCGATCCTTCGTCTGCACCATAACAACTCCCTTCTTATCGAAACAATGGCGAGCTCCATCGCACATCGAACCTCTGGCAGACAAAAAGCAAGTTTTAAATGGCAAATGCGTAAATGAATAAATCACACACAGTCTGAAATTCAATCCAAAAAAAAGGCACTGGGGTTTTGGGGTCAATTAAGTCCATACAAGCCAAATAAACTAGAGACTGTAATACTTGCTTAAAATGAACCTGTCATGACTTACCTGACCCTCCGCTCCCGCTCCCCATTATCATTACAGAGGTGTGAGTTACACTACTATTACACCCACCTCCAATCTGCTCCTACGTTCTTCATTGACTTGCCCTGCCTGGGGACATTTCACCATGCAGGACAACCTTCCTGCATGACTCCAACACACTGGCTTTATTGTCAGCTTGCTGGGTGCTGAAGAGTGTCGTCAGTGATGTTCCTATACTCCCTAGCCAGCGCTAGCAGAATTGGCTATGGGGTTTCTATAGCAACTACAATGCATGTGTTGTGGTTGCTATGCATGGAGAGCAGAAGGAAGGGGAGGAAATCTCTTCTGCTTTCCCTGTCAACCAATACATCAAGGGGAAGACCAAATAAGCATCTGCTTGCAGTGTTCAAAGATCCCCACATAACATGAAAACCAAAACCCAGCAATTGCAGAAACACAATGAGTGTGGTACATACAAGGACTGCAAGGTTGAAATGTTGCTGTGTCTTTCTTGGATGGAATAAACCACAGTCACGATAATTCTGGCGTCATGGAGTTTGATTTGTTTCTCAATAAACCGATAGCTGCCATCAGCTTGCTGAAAAATTCCACTCATCTCGTGGAGCCTCTTCCAAGCCAGGAATGAACACTCTCAGGGCCGGTGCAAGGATTTTTGGGTACACCGGAGAAGATGATTTTGGTGCCCCCCACCCACCCAAAAGCATCTTCACCTGTATGCCCCTTAACCCACCTCTTTTGTTTCTTCTCCCCTTTTTAAAATGTCCTACCCCCTTCAGTGTATCTTATCCCCTATTATTCCCCATTGTGTGACTTACACCTCCCTTGTGTAACTCTCAGAACCCCCCTTTGTGTTTTACTCCCCCCATCCCCTTTGTGTCTTACATTTACCAGCTCCTCTGTGTATTTCTTTTTCACCACCAGCCCGTCTCCAACCCCTCTTTGTCTCTTTCACCCCATCTGTGTGTCTTTCTCTCCCCTTATGTCCCTCTGTGTCTTTCTCCCACTCAGCCCCCCTCTCTACTCTCCCCCCCCTTCCATGTCTCTTTTTGCCCCCCCACCCCCCCATTTCCATTAATGTTCATTCCCATTCTCTTTTAGTGGTCCCCCCTACCTGTGTTCCTATTCCCTTTTAACCCCTTCAGCAACTTGGAATGGGGTGTGGGAGGGAGGGGAGACCTGCAGTGCCAGGAAAACGGTTTGTTTTCCTGGCACTGGAGAGTCCCTTTAACACCTTAGCACATTAACTCGAGTGCTTTCCCTGGGTGGCCGCCATTCGTATAACCGAACGCACGTGGTCCAATGCCATTTCGTCTCCGAACACAAGCAGTGGTACGTGGTCGAACACCTGGAACTATTTTCGGCCATGCGAGTCCACGAACCCGGGTAGAGTTGTCCTGCTGCCCTTCTACTTTCCGACCACCTCAGGCGAACAAAGTTCAGGAGATATGAACTACCAACTGGTGGGAACATTCATCTGTGTTCGCAAAGGAACCCTCAAAAACCGACACCCCCATTCTTATGGAACTGTTTTGGGTTATCGTCTCGTGGCCGGTCAGGCAGAACTTTACCCGAATGGCGATTCCGTTCTACCAAACAGATCTGAGCGCTATTTGGATATGTTGGGTGCTCAGATCAGAGCTATTCTGGGACATAGGATTTGTGGGATTCCTGTAAATTATGACTGTTTTTGAGGTGTTTTGTATATCTATCTATCTATCTATATATTGTATATTTTCCTGTACCTAAGAGATTATTGAGTTACTCAATTTTCACTAAATTATCTCTCAGACAATGGGTGGCCTGGGAGGGTCTTGTGTAATTTTGTTGTATGGAGACCCCATGCTGTGTTTGAGCAAAATAAATCAGTTGTACTCCCAGAACTGTGCGTCGTCCAGTTACTGGGGGAAATAGGGCTATCAACACTTCAGCATCTTGTTGCAGAGTCCCAGTCTTTACAGATCCACCGGAGGAAAAGTCCTTGTACTAGTGTTCTGCTACAATGTGTTCCTTTACGTAAAATAAATATCCACATTCTGCTGTGATTACTTATTGACAAATTCCACAAAAAAATACACAAATCCATGTTAGATTGTTGGGCCTATCGGTGGACACCCCTTGCTTACTATATCATTAATTATATATACACACACACACACATATAGACACACACAAAACAATTTTCTTTTCTGGATGATGTATGTCACATCACAGTGCTTTTTTTCCTGAAGTTTACCTTTTACTATGTTCATGCAAGCCTGCCTACTTACCATGCACTGCAAAAAAAAAAAAAAAGTTCTAAAGTTGTGATTTATATGTGTTGTGCATGACTACAGTACTTGGCTCTTAAATGAGAACAGTAAAATTCAGCTTATAATCTTCTAAAAAAAAAACTAAAAAAAACCTAAAAAAAACTAAGAACTTTAGAAAATTGAAATCACAATTTGCAGTTAACTTTTAGTTGTAAAAGCTCAGTAGTGACTGTTCTACTTTAATAGAAATGATTTAGAGCTTCGACTGACTATGTTGTGTTAACTCTAAAGTCTACAGTAACTCACCCATTTTTCCCCATAATGAGCTTGAGATCTGAATAGGATCGTTTGTTGTTGTCTGTAAGCGCCTCAATAAGGAAGGACGAGCCTCCAGGTCCCCTTCCCTCATACAGAGCATAGGTAGCAGGCTTCGCCTTATCCTAAAAGAGAAACAGCATACCAAATATCTTAGACATAGCCTCCCAAACGTCTCCTCCAACAAGAAATTCTAAAAACCTTTTGTTCTAATGATGTTAGTTTGCCCAGTTAAATGGATATTCCATGCAGGTATATCTCATTTATTGTGTTATTAAGGTAGGTATAGCCAAATAAAATATATATATATTTTTTTTTTTTAAAGTAGATTTCACATGCAGTTCTTTAATTTGCTGCAAATCTACATTAATTCCAGCTTCTTCCATGAGCTCTTACCAAACTCAGAGAGACGTTATGTTTACTCAACATTCTATAGCACTGATAAGCTTATCCCAGGAGAAGTGCTTTAAATTGGATCGGTCACATTCCGTGTTTCATAAAGACATTCTTAGAGGGAAACTTTAGTCACAAATTTTTTTTGTGTGTAATGAAGCAGTTTTGGCGTATATATCATGCCCCTGCATTCTTACTGCTCCATTCTCTGCCATTTTGGAGAAGGGTGTCAACATATTCGTCACACAAAAAGCCAGAATGTCCCTTTAAGGTTTGAACATGTGTATGATGTTGCTGCTGCCTGAACCGATATTAACAATAGATAGTGGCTAACTTTGTCTACTCACCGCTCCTTTGATGGCTGTTTCAATGGAAGACTTGGGCATGTTTCTTTGCCGGCATTGCTCAATCAACTGGGACAAATGAAAATTACTATCTGGATTGGGTCCTCCTTCTGTAAGAGAAGGTCAAGAAAAGCAGATGAGTGTCAATGCTCGGTCACTTTGGCTTACATCAAGGCTGCCCAATCATGGTCTTACAGCTGCACTTGGACCTCATTTCCTACAAATCACATCAAGTCAATGACATGCTGAATAACAACAAAAGGGCCTGGCTAACAATTAATAAAGTAGTTAATAAAGAAATACATATAAACTAGGAACCTCTTAGAAACCCCCATTGGGGGTAGTTCATTATGGGAAACGTAGATGAAGTACAGGAGGACAGGACAAAGCTATATTGCCCAGTAAGTAATCTTTCCCATCTCCATCACTTACCTTTCACTACCGCTCGGATCATCACAGAGAGTTTGGCGAACAATCGTGCTCTGGCTTCATCCTTGGGGCCTTTAATGTGTTTGACCTTGGACCACTTATTGTGTCCAGCAGGGGCCACTGAAGAACTGTGGAAATCTGCCGCCGGGGAACATGTGCCCAGATGGGACCATTTTTCTAGGGGTTCCTGGCAGCGGAGTAACGACCTCCAGATATGTGTCCTGTACGAGGAGCAGATCCTGTTCAGAGCTGAAGTCATCCTGCCACCATGGTATGACCCTGAAGACAAGAACGAGGTTTCAGAATTATTCTAATTGACATCTTGTGATCTCCTCTACAGGGTGATATCAAACAATGATATGGAACGACTGTTCAATCAATCGTTCACATTTAAGCGCAAAGTAATCATTTCTATAACCTGGGCTCAAAATTTCCACTCGCCTCCGTAGCAGATGATGAGTGGAAATTAAGCAAAGTCAAGTAAGCTGTGGGGTAGAACTCCAGAACACCTATGGCCGTTTGCAGTCACAAGGTGTATACAACTCAGCAAGGGCTCAGGAAGCTAATGAATAGAGGCTCTGCCGTCACCATTGAACAGAGAGCAGGCAATGAGCTGCACTTGGGCTGGGGGACAGGGATATACTTCTAAAAAGTTGCAAAAAGATTTAGACTATAGCTAATGAAGTTCCACTTCCTTTTGCCAATGAACCATCGACGACAAATCTTCAGTCCGTGACAGATCAATAGTCAAGCTCAAAATGTAGCTGAGTTGGACAGATTTTTTTTCTCCACTTACGCCAAAAATGTACAATTCTCCAAAATGTATTGTTTAAAGAAACACTCCAAGCATCATAACCCCCCACCCCAGCCATTGTTACCTCCTCCTTTAAAAGTAAGTAGTCACACAGTTTGATAATGGTTTGACATTTTAGCCGCAGGGTGCAGCCCCAGAAATTAAAACTCCTGCTAAGTACTTCCACTTGCTATACTGCGTGAAGCCTTGCAGTAAAGAGGCAGCTCATTGACGGTGAGTGAACTGATCGTTCTCAGCCAGTGAGCTGCCCGACTTCATGAACAGAGCTTCCAGATACAATTTTACTTGCGCTAGTTCACTAACAAGAGGTGAGCAGCCGTGCCCAATGGATATCTAATGCCTCGTTTCCACTGAGCGGTATGGTTCGGGTCGGTACAGTTTGGAAGGGTTAGAATGGTCCAGCCTATTCAGGTAAGCGTTTCCACTGCAAGTCGGACCGCCAGGTGGAATGCAGGGTTTAGACCAAATGCCTAGCGTATCATTTGTCGTAAGCATTGACGTTTTTCTGTCCGCCAATCAATGGATTGTATAGTGTGCCGCCAGAAGCTCCGCCCTAACCGTACTGTACCATTTCCTATGGACCTACATCTGAAGAGGGCCCAGGAATGGTGCGGTTTAGTTCGGTTGTATCTTTCATAATGGAAACACTCAAAATAGCAAACCAGACCGTACTGAACCGAACCGCTTAGTGGAAACGGGGCATCAGACTGAATTTCTCCCCCCGTCATGCAGGAGTATCAAAAACGTCAAAAATGTAATATAGATTATGCAAAATGAGCGATGTTTCTCCTCCCACGAGGTCATGGAGAAGACATGGCCTACTCTGGTGTGTTCCCATTCAATGCTCCTCATAAAGGGAATACAAATCCTGCACTCACTCCCATCACTCTTGGCCGGCAGCAACGACCATAGTACACATCAGCCCCAATACATACAGTAAAAACCAAAGAAAAACGTTACCTACGCTCTCTCCTAAATCCCACTGTATATTTAAACAAATGGAGGTTATTTACTTACTCTAATGGCCAATGGAGGATGTGCCCGTCTGCCAACGTCAAGGCAGACCACCCCCCTCTTAGCGGGTTCTACACTTGCTTCCTTGAGCTTCTGGCAAAGATATTTCTAATGAGACAGAGAAGGGTATTTTTTATATACACCCCTATATACTTATTAACCCTTAACAGGGAACATAAAGGAGCATTGGGGACCTAGTGGTTAGCTCTGAGCACATATTCCAGCCACTAGAGGGGTTTTTAACCTTTCAAAATAAACTTTATTGTTTCTGCAAAACAGCAATGTTTTTCCTTGCAGGGTCAAAATGAAAGGACCACATGGAGATGAAGTGGCATGGGTGACTTTAGCGGTCCTTTAAAAGTGCTACATACGGTAAATGCCAATCATAACTGCATCACTGCAGTTTTAAGCTACTCTCAGAATTGAGAGTGGGTGTAGGGTCTCCGCATCAGGGGCACTTTAGGCACCGTGACCACAACTGCACATTGTAGTGGCTATGGTGTCAATAGTCCGCTGGCCTCAACACCCAGTCAATAGTTTTACCAATCCGGAGAGCTACAGATCAGTAGATCCTTAGAATGACCAGGATCATAAGAATAGCACTATAACCACAGCTAATGAGCAACAGATTTCAAATCACTGGCATGAATCATGGGAATTATAGTTTAACCAAAGCTGCTAAGCTACAGATAACTGACATGGATCATGGGAATTATAGGTTAACCACAGTTGCTAAGCAACAGATAACTGGCATGAATCAAGGGAATTATAGTTTAACCACAGCTGCTAAGCTTGGAATCAGCAGTTTACTGGCATGACCTGGATCATAATAGTTTAACCACGGCTGCTAAGTTACAGATAACTGACATGGATCATGGGAACTATAGTTTAACCACAGATAACTGGCATGGATTATGGGAATTATAGTTTAACCACAGCTGCTGAGCTACAGATAACTGGCATGGATCACGGGAATTATAGTTTAACCACAGCTGCTGATCTAGGAATCAGCAGTTTACTGGGATGACCTGGATCATGGGAATTATAGTTTAACCACAGATAACTGGCATGGATAATGGGAACTGTAGTTTAACCACAGCTGCTGAGCTTGGAAGCAGCAGTTAACTGGCATGACCTGGATCGTGGGAATTGTAGTTCAACCACAGATAACTTGCATGGATAATGGGAATTGTAGTTACAGCTGCTGAGCTTGGAATCAGCAGTTTACTGGCATGACCTGGATCGTGGGAATTGTAGTTTAACAAGAGCTGTAGGGCCACAGAACTGCCACTCCAGGCTTGTTCAGACTGCAGAATTAAATGTTGAATAAAATAATACTCTGATACGAATAAGATAAATTAATAAGTGAGAATGCAGTGGTTGGAGAGCCCTCAGTACATACTATGCCATCCCCGGTTTAACCTCCAGGTCACCGCACGTGTCACAAAGCTGGACTGCAGGACTCCATGTCCTCCTACTCCACTGCGCATGTGCGAGGCATCTTGGCTTCACCTGTCCGAGTGCGCATGCGCTGCGGGCAACCCCGAACGCCGTGCGACTGCGCAAGTCTTAGCCACCCACGCAACACTAGTGAGCATGCGCCAATGGAAGCCCCTGCCAGCTCGCGAAGGTTCCCGCCCACAAGCCTCCCTTCCACCCCCTCTCTCTCTCTCTCTCTCTGGGCTCGTGCACTTGAGAGCGGGCGCACGCGGTGCATCATGGGACGAGGCGGGAAACTGCCAACTGAAGCAACCGGTTTGGCGCCAAAAACAGACCATGAACAGCGCGTGACACAGCATCAGGCAGATTGCCCGAGCAGGAAAAGTGCTGCCCTGTGGTCACCAGCATTCACGTACTGTCTGTTAACTAACAGGACTTCCTCCCTGTTCAATCATGTAATGTCTGTCTTGCAGGCAGCCAATCTCCCCTATTTAATTTACATTACATTTTATTTACCACTTTTTCACACTCTGCCCATGAAGTAGTAATTTAAGTGGCACATGTATGATGATTGGGGGGTGGGGGGGATATATAGATAATGACCTTAGGCTGCTTCTCCACAGCGCTGCCGTCTGCCATCTTGTCTCGTTACGGCACGCTCAATCTGCCAGTTACACAGCCACCGTTATCGCTATGGTTCTCTCACGCGTGGACGAGCGCACAGGCCAGAGTCTATGGGGGTTTCATGAGATCCAAAACGTATTATAAGTACTGACAGGACTGCGTCAACGTCCAGCGACGCACTGAGTGTAAGGAGTCCCCCGTCAAGTACATGGAGCATTTCTTGAGCTATAATTGCAAGTTTGTGCTTAGAGAGTGTCCTCTAACCACTACAATACACTATAGTGATTATGATGCTAAGACAAGCGTACGCCACTTTCTACACTCCAGCTATGTTGGACTGCATCTCCCATAATGCTCTTACAGTCATAATAATGTTGTGGACCAGTAGCGTAATTACTGGAGGGCAACGAGGTGGCTGCCAAAGGGGGAAAACTCTGGGGGAGGAGTGGACCAGTGGCCTGTCACAAGGGGCCCAGGAGGTGGCTTCCACGCCCCCAAAGGCTTTTATTCAGTGAGGAAAAGTAGTAACCTGCTTACTCCAGACGGCAGGTGCGTACTCTGAGGAAATATCCCGGGGAGAGAGCGATGATGTTCTTCACTGTGCCCTCTGGGGTGTTGCCGGCATATGATGTCACTCTGGCCCCAGCAACTCCAAGCTGCGTGCCAGGGAGCCTTAAGGAACTGGAAGATTGCAGGAGCCACTGGACCCCAGGGAGAATATCCATTCCACACTGGACCTCAGAGAGAAGATCCATTCCCCACTGGACCTAAGGGGGCAGATCCATTCCACACTGGACCTCAGAGAGAAGATCCATTCCACACTGGACCTCACAGAGAAGATCCATTCCCAATTGGACCTCAGGGAGAAGATCCATTCCACACTGGACCTCAGGGAGATGATCCATTCCCAATTGGACCTCAGGGAGATGATCCATTCCCAATTGGACCACAGGGAGAAGGTCCATTCCATACTGGACCTCAGAGCGAAGATCCATTCTGTGGCAAAACCAACCTCGCCACTGGGCATTGGAGAAGCCTGGTTGCCCGCCTCCTGCCTGCTGACTATGACCCCTGGGAGATTTGGGCCTTTAACTACAGTATTTGGGCATATTGTATGTTATTAAGCTGCTGCTGGCCCTTTAATGCCCAAAGAAAGGATTTTGTACCTTTAAACTGGCACTTCTGATGCAGTCGAAGTGGCCGCCATTTGAACTAATTCGAATGCGGTCAGCGGTGTGTTTAGCCAAATCTATGGAACTGTTTTCGGCTACCCAATTGCAAGAACACCCAATGTTAGGGAGGCTGGATTTGTGTTCTGCCCCAGTAGACTGTAACTCTGGTTACACCACTGCTGTGAACTATATCTCCCATAATGCTCTTACAGTCATAATGCTGGCAAAGCAGGAGATGTGGTCCATAACATCTGGAGTCTCGAAGACTGCCTACCCCTTTGCTAAGAGATTCTGAGCGTTGTATCCGGTATTGCTGTGAACTCTGGCACAGCATTGCCCATATCACAATAAATGTATTATTAGTTCACTTATTGGTTCATTAAAGCTGTGACAATGTATGCAACGTTTAATCCTTTTATGCCCATAGCCCCTTTGCATTACCTGTACTACCCATCCTTGAATGAACCCATTGACCATACCTACTGTTTGATATAGACTAAATCAGTTTTCTGACATGGTGTGGATACCATCTGTATAGCAGCATTTCACGTGCATCATTTTACACTTTGTTATATAGGCATTAATTTCAGAAAGAACATGTTTGAAAATGACATAGAAAACATTTTACTTCAACATTCATATACAAGAAAAGTTACAACAGCATTAATTAAAAAAATTACTGGCATAAATCTGACAAATATTTGTAGAATCAAATAGCCAGATAGGAGCTTCAACAGCCATCTTTTATCATAAAAAATCTTATTTATTTTAAGCTGGTTATAGGAATATTGTTAAGGTGCTATATAAAAATACTACATAAACAATACACTAGCACAATAGCTGACCGAGTTTGTCAAACAATGTTATATAAATATGTCATCAACTAATATGTCTTATTAGTTGATTATGTTCAACTTGTCTTGCTGAACAGTATTTTTAAGCATGATATGTAATTATTTCTACAGTAACTGTTGCGATGTGGCAACAAACATCAGTAATCCTATAGTGTCCATATGTGTTGTTGCAAGCAATTTATCATTACAGAATGCAGACAAACGCTCAAGGGCTCTTGATCATCAATACCTTGTGTGAACATGTCTACACTTGTCGCTCTTACTCTGTATTTTTCATTAGAAAAGGAACCACCAGGAAGACCGTGAGCTGGGCGAGCCATAGCCCATAATACATTTTCAGTGGGTCTCCGCCCAAACTGCAGTTCCATTAATTTGCAGAGATTACATAATTGTTTCACTAAGGGCGCAAATAGGTCTGCAATCCTCTCGATTGTGTATTAGTATATTTTGTTTTTCTTTTTCAGAGAATTCTTTGAATTTTGGATATTTTGGCCTTAAATTTGAAATTTCACTTAAAATGTCATTAGATTGTTAACTTTGATAAACCTGACAGTATTTTTAAAACGACAATGTAGACATCCAAAAAAGAGATTTCGCACAGAGCAATGCTGGTGGTTGTGGTAGTGGGGAGGTTGGGATCTCAGTATTCTTGGTAACATTATGCATCCTGGATACTTGGAAGGTATGTGGGGTATATATATATATATATATATATATATATATATATATATAATTTTTTTTTCATCTTCAGTTTAAGAATAAGCAGATTGTTGTTCCATTATAATCTTGCGTCAGCCAAGTCATAGTATTCTGAAAGATAACAAATAAATAGAAAAATATATATATAAATGGGTAGGGCAGAACTTAAATTGGAAACTCACACATATCCCTTGTTGTAGAAAGTAACTAATATAAAGCATATATATTCATTATTGTAAATATCCTTAGATAGATATGCTTAGAACATGTTCAGAACCTAGAAATATACGTTTACACTCCATAGCACTAACCACCATCAACCAAACTCTTTGTGCAAATAAATTACTGTCACTCTCAAAGAACATACTATCATAAGGACATGTAAGACTGTGTTTTTTTTCTTCCTTATAATCTACGCCTTTAACAGTACAATGTAAGGATGCCTTAGCGATGAATAAGGACATCATTAAGTCCTCACATATTAAAGTTTGCATGATGGCTGGGAAAAGAAACATTTGATTGATGCAATTCTCATGTGTGTCTCCATAGATAATTTAAAGTGACCTTTGAATGATAGCCACCCTAGCCTGAAAAGTAAGTAGCTATTTTTGCAAACATTATATAATGGAGATCTAAGAGATTTTTTCAGTGTCCAACAAGGACCCAATCTACATAAAAATAATAGTTATTCAATTTCTTCTCTTTCTTTTCTTTTTTTTTTTTTTTAAAAATACCCCTCAAAGAAACACTAATAAGCTGTAGTGTGTATTTTGCTTAGAGTGTACTGGCAGTCCCCTGATTTGATGTCAAAGCATTTAGCAGTCATCTTATACGAGTGATGGCTAAAGTTTGTTAGTGCTATTATTATAGACTGATATTTCCCATGATGGCAGCCATGTGGACCGTTATGGGACCCGTGTAAACAACAGCTGTAGTGCCAATGATTAGCCTTCGCTCATATATCGAGGGATGGATAATACAATACGCTTTACGTGCTTTTACCTGAAGCTGGAGGAACATCAGCACCCACTGTGCCAGTTGCACTCAGAGGGGGAGGTGGTGGAACAGCTCGTCTGTAGAAACACACAAACATCTGTTATAAAATGGAACTTACAGGGCAAAATTTTACATTATTAAAAATGTATATTTGACCATTTTTATTAGGTAGATGTTTGTCACAACTGTCATCTAAAAGCAGGTAGGTTTTTATTAGATAGACAAGGTGGAATTACACAGTTAAAGGACCACTATAGTGCCAGGAAAACAAACTCGTCCCAATCCCGCCAGGCTGAAGGGGGAGGAAAGGGATAAATTCTTACCTTTCTCCAGCGCCAGGCTCCCTCGGCGCTAGGGACTCTCCTCCCTCTTCCGATGTCCACCGAATGCGCATGCGCGGCAAGAGCCGTGTGCGCTTTCAATCAGTCCATAGGAAAGCATTTCTCAATGCTTTCCTATGGACGGCAGCGTCTTCACACTGTGAAAATCACAGTCATAAGTGCCTCTTGTGACTGTTAATAAGACAGCCACTAGAGGCTGGGTTAACCCTATTGTAAACTGCTATGTTTACAGCTGCAGGGTTAATCCTAGATGGACCTAGCACCCAGACCACTTAATTGAGCTGAGGTGGTCTGGGTGCCTATAGTGGTCCTTTAATTTCTAGCTAAGTATTATTAAAGTATCAAGGAGAAAAAAAGTTATAAAAACTTATATCTGATTTAAGTACATTTTGAAATTTAGTGTTGTACATTCAAATGGACCAATGACCATTGATGGTGTGACAGAAGCTCCAGGGGGTCGCTTGGACTCATTTTACACCTCGAGCTCTTGACCCGGAGATACCCTAAATCACTCTGGAACTGTTCCTCGGATCTGGACTGTGTTGAGGTCTGGTAAATCATTAAGTGGGTATCGCTCGGTCCCCCGACTTCCAAATAGAGCATTATCTGGAGTGGAGATCGGGCAGGCAAGGAAACATCTAAAGACACTTGTGACTTGAGTGCGCTCCCTTCCCCAGGGGTCCAGGAGCCTTTTTTGTGAAACTGGCACTAAGCCGCTGCATGACTGAATTTCTCGCCATATCAGAGGATAGCCGCCACCCGGTAACACTTTAACACGCTACAACTCAAGCACCGATTCTCCAGTCTGGACGCTTTTTGTTCAGCGAAGAAGTTCGGTGACAAGTGTGGGTACAGTCCAGAGAAAGGGGGTTCTGGCACACATTTTGTGTTCTGTGCCTATAGGACTTTTAGGACACAGCAGGGAGCCGATTGTGTTAGCGGTGGATAATGTAATTAAGTCCCCAGACAGAGTGGCGCCAGGGAGGGACAATTATACCATACATTGCATTGTATGGAAGACCCCCTGCAGGGAGAGTCAACATTGCTGTGTATAAAAAGCTGTGTGCTGTGCAATGAAGTTCATTCTATTTCCTACATTCAGACTCATCTAATATGTGAGGGAAAAGCTGTAGTAAAGTGATAATCACTGCTCTACAGGAGGGAGAGTCTTCATTGCTATATTCTCTGCAGCCTGGTCTGGTGGAAGAGGTGATTAGAGAACCCAGTCAAGCTTTTGGGACTGTCTCAAGTGCTCCAGAATCTCCTGGTAGTAGCAAGAAAGCTGACCTGGTGGTGGTACTCAGTCGGAGTACCTAAGTTCTGTCACACATGAACTTTGTAGTTTGGACTTTTGTAACTCATGAGCACAGCAGGGTACTAAGAAATCTCTCATATCCTTGGTAAATGTAGCTGTGTACAACTGTACCAAGCCTGTTCAAACCGTATGTAACTGAATTTTTCAAATATTGCAAACACACACATTTCGCAAATAGCTTATATTTACCATCCTTTCAAATCAAAGGAATAATCTCAATACATATCTTAAGTTATCTGCAGAAGTAAGAGACAAATAATACTGGCTCTTCTGATGCACCATTCTCATCAACTATTAAAGGGCAATCTTTATTTTTATTACTGTCATTTATAAAGCATAAAGATAGTGGGAATAATAGTCCAGCAATGATTAAGAGAGCATGATTGCCTGTCTCTGTTGTAACAGGGATTTTTTAAAGCAGTGCTTTGACCATGAATGGACTATTCACTTCCATTTAAAAATAAAATTAGTCCATAATTCATTTTTAAAAACAAAAGAAAACCACAGTGTAATTTGTTGTACCTAGGCTTTAATAGGATTTTTGTGCCTGATTTTGGTCTGTTTCCTTAATAGCTGACCATTAACAGACATTAATGCATTTCTGTTTTTACCTATATACAAATTCACAGGGATGTACTCTAAGCCAGAACTGGTTATAATGAATGATTGTTGGTTATCTATATCTCCAAACATGCCTTTGGCTGGCTGAGGACAACACATGCGCACAGACACACACGCACACACAAATATACAGCAATGCCTCACTGGTCTCCAAGATGGGCAGGAGTGTTGGGTGGCATCTCCAAATGTCTGACTGTTGGTTCACGGTGTTGGATCTGAGGCTGTGGCTGCCACATAGGGTACATTGGATATGTTTGGTAATTTGCAGGATATGAATCATAGTGGTGGTGATACACAACAGGTTCTTCTGCCTCTAGAGGTAATGAGATCACAGTTGGCTGTGGGGGCTAGAGAACAGAGACACACATTAATTGTCAAACTTTAATGGATTGCTGCTATATGTAGTGTGTACCTCATTGACCCTGTTAAGCCACCTACCGTGGGTGTAGGCTGTGTAGCTCCATATCCAAAGCTTGACAGTGCTGACATTGTCATGTTGCTCATGATAACCTGGTGCATCTGTGCATTCTGAATCATCATCAATTCAATTAAATCTGTGTGTATAAAGAGGAGTAATTGCATGCAGGATACCTATATATTCAAGTCATATGTAGCAATCAGACAATCGGTCCTGTTACTTCCTGGTTATTTAGCTCACTGGAGCTAAATTCAAGAGGCAGCAAGTGTCCTTTTCATTGAGCTGCACTGGGAAGTCTGTAATTGGACAGCCACAGAAAGTATGGGCTGAAGAAAAAGAGGGGGCTTACAAAGTCTTCAGACGAGATCTATTGTGTAATTGGAGGAGTTATAAGGAGAGATAATATAGAGTAGTAGGAGGAGTTATAGGGAGAAGTTTTATGGTGTAATAGGAGGCGTTATAGAGAGTTAATATGGAGTAATATGAGGAGTTATAGCGAGAGTTAATAAGGAGTAATAGGAGGAGTTATAGGGAGAAGTTATATGGAGTAATTGGAGGAGTTATAGGGAAAGGTTATATGGAGTAATAGGAGGAGAGATAATATAGAGTAATAAGAGGAGTTATAGGGAGAGGTTACATGGAGTAATAGGAGGTGTTATAGAGTGAGGGTATATGGAGTAATAGGGGTTAGATAGAGGTTATATGGAGTAATAGGAGGAGTTATAGAGAGAGGTTATATGGAGTAATAGGAGGAGAGATAATATAGAGTAATAAGAGGAGTTATAGGGAGAGGTTACATGGAGTAATAGGAGGTGTTAGTGAGGGTATATGGAGTAATAGGGGTTATATGGGGTAATGGGAGGAGTTATAGGGAGAGGTTATATGGAATAATAGGAGGAGTCATAGAGAGAGGTTATATTGAGTAATAGGAGAAGTTATAGAGAGGTTATATGGAGTAATAGGATGAGTTATAGAGAGAGGGTATATAAGTAATAGGAGGGGTTACAGGGAGAAGTTATTTGGAGTAATAAGAGAAGTTATAGTGAGAGGTTATATGGAATATTAGGAGGAGTTATAGTGAGAGGTTTTATAGAGTAATAGGAGGAGTTATAGTGAGAGGTTATATGGAATATTAGGAGGAGTTATAGTGAGAGGTTATATGGATTAATGGGATGAGTTTACAAGAACTGTTATGTGGAACAATGGTTGCTGTTTCAGGAAGAGGTTATAAAGAAGTAAAGAATGGGCCTAGGGAAAAAATATAAATCGTTATTTATATAATATGTTAATGACATTTAATATTGATTGCAAATTAGAACTTCCATGTTGCTTAATTCTAAGGAAGATAATTGGAAACATCCAACATGGATTTCATTGTGTTGTAGTAGTTCTTGAATTAAATAATAAGCTTCTCACCTTCTTTGGCACTACCATGTCTTATAGGATGAGACAGGGGTGGAACGAATCCTCCAGGAATTTGTTGAATTATGGTAGGATGCTGGGAAACCTAGGAATGAAGGCAGGTTGGAAAAGAAACAGTAAGCGATTGTTTCCATTCGTGTCAATGGAGGGAGCTTCACTCAACAAAGGCTTTAACCCCTTCCCGACCGAGGACGGTTCAGGACCGTCATCGGGATTTTCCCATTGCCGACCGATGACGGTCCTGAACCGTCCTAACGGTTTCCGTTACTTACCTGATCGCCGTCGTTCCCCCGGCGGCGATCAGCATGGCTCCCGGTGTGGGGAGACTGCCTGCAGCCCAGACAGTCTCCCCACACTGATTTAGGACCCCTGTGGCCATGTGATCGCTTAACAGAGCGATCACATGGTCACAATAGGTGTCCATGTGTCTGCCTGCAGGGGGACTGCCTGTGCTGACAGGCAGTCTCCCTGCTAGTGTAAAATCAAAAAAAAAAATAAAGTTAATGTTAATAAAAAAAATTATAATAATTATATATGTGTATATATGATATATAGACATATATTATATCTATATAATATATGTCTATATATCATATATATAATGCCATACTAAGTGTATTTTTATATTAATATGTACTTATATTAATATAACAATACACTTATAATTAAATTACACACGTATATATATAATATATATAATAACTATATAGATTGTATATATATATTATTATAAAATATAAATAATAAGTAATTTAAATTAAATAATTTTTTTAAAAATAATAAAAAAAATTTAAAAAATTATATAGCTATATGAAATTTTATTCTAACTGTATTTTAAAATTAATATATATATATTTATATCAAAATACACTTAAAATGAATTTGTATATATATCTATGTATATAAAAATAAATAAAAATAATAAGAAATATACATACGCCCATATACAAAATTACATAAATAATTATATAAATATACACGTAGACTTCAAATATATAAATATGCATATATATTTAAATTCTACGTGCGTATTTATGTAATATTTTTACATAATTCAGTAATTTTATTGATTGCAATTTGAGGGACCTGCCTGCCAACCCAGGCCGAAATTCCAGAGAATTTAATTTGTTAGCACTGTATTTTACCCTGTAACGTTCTACGACACCCTAAAACCTGTACATGGGGGGTACTGTTTTACTCGGGAGACTTCGCTGAACACAAATATTAGTGATTCAAAACAGTAAAACATATCACAGTGATGATATTATCAGTGAAAGTTACTTTTTTTGCATTTTTCACACACAAACAGCACTTTTACTGATGATATAATTGTTGTGATACGTTTTCCAGTTTTTAAACACTAATATATGTGTTCAGCGATGTCTCCCGAGTAAAACAGTACCCGCCATGTACAGGTTTTATAGCATTTTTGAAAGTTACAAGGACAAATACATGGGTCAAATATTTTTACATTGAAAATGGCCAGGTTGGTTACGTTGCCTTTGAGAGCGTATGATAGCCCAGGAATGAGAATTACCCCCATGATGGCATACCATTTGCAAAAGAAGACAACCCAAGGTATTGCAAATGGGGTATGTCCAGTCTTTTTTAGTAGCCACTTGGTCACAAACACTGGCCAAAATTTGCGTTCAATTTAGTTTTTTTACTTTTTTCACACACAAACAAATATGAATGCTTACATTGGCCAGTGTTTTCGACTAAGTGGCTACTAAAAAAGACTGGACATAACCCATATTGAATACCCTGGATTGTCTACTTTAAAAAAAATATGTACATGTGGGGTGTTATTCAGAGATTTATGACAGATAATAGTGTTACAATGTCACTATTGATAAATTTTTAAAATGCATGTTTTGAAACCGCAATATCCTACTTGTACCTATAGCCCTATAACATGCAAAAAAAAGCAAAAAAGCACGTAAACACTGGGTATTTTTAAACTCAGGACAAAATTTTGAATCTATTTAGCAGTTTTTTCATTCGCTTTTGTAGATGAGTAAAAGATTTTTCAAGTAAAAGTAAAAAAACATGTATTTTTTCAATTTTTCATCATATTTTTTTATTTTTTTTAAATTAAAATACATGAGATTATATAAATAATGGTATGTAAAGAAAGCCCCTTTTGTCCTGAAAAAAACAATATATAATTTGTATGGGAACAGTAAACGAGAGAGCGGAAAATTACAGCCAAACACAAACACCAGAAAAGTGTAAAAATATTCCTGGTCGCAAATGTACAACATCGCAAAAACAGTCCAGTCCTTAAGGGGTTAAAGGATCACTATAGGGTCAGGAACACAAACATGTATTCCTGACCCTATAGTGTTAAAACCACCATCTAGCCCCCCTGGGCCCCTCATGCCTCCATAAATATAGCAACATCTTACTGTATTCAAGCCAGAAGCCGTACATCTGCATGCTGTTTTCCTAAAAAAAACAAGCAGTCTTCTGACATCATCAGAAGTGGTGGCCTGATCCAATCACAATGCTTCCCCATAGGATTGGCTGAGACTGACAAAGAGGCAGATCAGGGGCAGAGCCAGCATGATTCAAACACAGCCCTGTCCCATCAGCATCTCCTCATAAAGATAAATTGAATCAATGAATCTCTATGAGGAAAGTTCAGTGTCTGCATGCAGAAGGAGGAGACACTGAATGTTTGGATCCATTTTAGGCAGCCATGACCCAGGAAGGATCTCTAACAGCCATCTGATGAGTTGTCAGTGAAGTTATCACTAGGCTGTAATGTAAACACTGCTTTTTCTCTGAAAAGACAGTGTTTACAGCAAAAAGCCTGAAGGTAATGATTCTACTCACCAGAACAAATTCAATAAGCTGTAGTTGTTTTGGTGACTAGAGTATCCCTTTTAATGAAATATCTGAATATCTAGAATAATAAAGCAGGTAGACTTCATGTGGCAATGGAGCAAGAGAGGGAAATGTCTGCATCTCATCTTTCTGCATCACCAGTGATAAAGATTAATAATGCTTGTGGCTGGTGGATCTTGCACCTCTTCATGTCTGCCAACCACTGCTTCCCTCTTCCCTTCCTAAAATCTTCTGTGCAAGTAAAGGAAAAGAAAAATACCCCGAAAATGGAACTGAACTCTGGACTGGAAGCGACCTGGATGGAAGTGTCTTTTAGTTTTAAGGAAGAACCAGTAGCTATTGTTCTGAATTATTCTGTTTAATGACAGGAACGTAACCTATAAAAAGTGCACTTTATTGCATTAATTTTATGTCAACCTTGCAATATAGATTTTTCACACTTGTCTGAAAGCCATATCATTATCTAATTCTAAATATTTAATCCTGACGTTGAAGGGATTCTATAATGTTAGGAATACAAAGTTGTTTTCCTAATACTATGGTACCCTCTGCCCCCCACCCTCCCGCTGTGGAACATAAATGGTTTTAAAAAAAGACTCAATGTTTTTCTATGGGGATTTCACTGAACTACTATAGTAGTAGTGGTTCTGGTGTCTAAAGCATGTCCCTGAAGCCTTAGCACTGTAAACAACATTTTCATAGAAAAGGCAGTGTTTACATTGGAGGCTAGTTAAACCTCTAATGGCAGTCACTCAGATGGCCACTAGAGATGCCGCCTATCTCGGTGTGGCGTTCAGCATATCCATGCACTTAATGGAGGCGTTGAACGTTCCCCATAGAAATGCACTAATTCAATGCATCTCTATGAGGAGATACTGATTGGCCAGCACTGCATTTTGCGGCACATGCGCAATAATCTCCCAATGCTTTCCTATACATTAATAGATATTTTCTCACAATAAAATCCCTAAAACAAACCAAAAAAAAAGGCATTTGCAAAGACCCTTTGCTACCTGGCACCAATATTACACTGTGTGATTGCTTATTATTTATTTATAAAGCTAAAATATTCCAAAGCAATGTCTTTATTTATTCTCCCAAAATACAGTTAGATATAAATAGCAATTATATAGAATTGGAAAGTTCTAGAAGTAAAACAGTCACTTTGGAATCCAGTGAAAGTCTGCCGATGATTGAATGACTGCTCCATTCTAGAACTTAGCACAAATTTACACTTAATGCAGTTTTTCTTTTGTTTTTAATTTAAGAAAATGTTCTTAGTATATGTTAGCCATTTCATTGCCCCATTTAAACCAAGAAGTCTATAAAAGCATGCAGACCCACATTACACATTTTCCATTTTTGTCAAAGGACAACTGACCACCCTGTTTCCACAGAACCCTATAGGATTTATGTCTGAAAATATCACCCCAAACTTACCGGGGCAGGAATAATCTGCACTCCTGGATAATTTCTTTCCCATGATTGGTAATTGTTGTCTGTATGCCAGCCCTGTGACATGATGGTAACTAAGCAAAGACCTGAACTCCTAGCCAAGTGAAGCTGTAGAATGAGCAGGTAATACAATCTGCAAGCAAAACAAACCATTAACAAGATACATGATACTGGAATCTAATAGAGACAGGCTTGGCTGGGACAGTCCTCCAATACACAGGCTGCTATAGCAACAGGATGTAAACATTTCTAAGTAATACTTGACCAGTAAAGAGCGGGTAGGGCCACATATCTACATACTGAACTCATTCATCCTGCTCCCAATAAAACTGCACTAACCTCTTTTACTACTGAATTATTTATCTAGCATATTCATTCAAAGGTGCAAAATATAGTGCTCTAAATATAATGGTATTAATACTTGTGTTTCCACTCACTGTGTTTGCTTTTCAATGTTTTACTTTATCATTTTTTATTAGTGTTATTATTATTGGTATTTTTATGACTTTACCTGGGTTTTTTGGGGGTTTTTTTTTTGCTAAAGTGTGAATTGTCAGGATTTCAATTGTTATGCCAAAATAACCACAACATTTACATTTCCAGGCAAATCACTCTTCAATGAATAACTCTGCATCTTGCTTAAGTCTAGGTCAGTGGTTCCCAAACTTTTTAGGTTCAAGGCGCCCTTAATATTTCAGTGTTTTCCAAGGCACCCCAAGTCAAAATTTTGAGGTTGTGTAACTGTACAGCACTGCCGCATTTACTGGCGCTATAGTGTAACGTACAGTGTTGGTGTTTGAAGGGGTGCTTGTATACATTTATTGTGTTTTAATACAGGGGTGTGTTTGTATGTGATGTTTGCATTTGATTGCAGGAGTGTGTCTAAATGTAATGTTTACTTTTAAATGTGGATGTACATTTGTGTGAAGTATTTGTGTTTGAGTGAAGGGATGTGTTTGTATATATTTTTTTATTACTGGAATGCAGTGGTGTGTTTGTATGTAATATTTGTATTAGATTGCAGGAGTGTGCTTGTATGTTGTGCTGGTGTTTGCTTAGATGTATGCGTATACATAGATACACAGATATTCATGCACATTAACACACAGATGCATACAAATACACCGACACATACACACAAATTCATATAGACACGACACATACACACATAGATATACACCGACACATACACAAATAGATACACACCAACATATACACACATGCACCCCGACAAACACAAACATTGATACATGCCCACACCATGACACAGATACACACTGACATAAAAACATACACCCTGACACACAAATGTGTGTGCGCACACAGACACAGAAGCACATTGACATATATATATATATATATATATACACACACACACACACACACACACAGATGCACACCCTGACACACACACACATACACAGACTCATACATACAAACACACTCATACATACAAACACACTCATACACATACAAACACTCATACTCACACACCCGCCCAAACTCATACACACACTCACACACATACTCATACACGCACACTCAAACACACAAGTGATTTGTTTTTAAAATATTTCCAGCCATTCTCCTGTCAGCTTACCTTATGTGCCAGGAAGGTGGCTTGGAGTCCTGCTACTGTGGGAGTGAGGGGTCTTGAGCTCTTCATGCTCCTCTCCCCTCACGCTGCGGCTGCCTCTTCTCCCCCCGCGCTGTCTCCCTGCAGGATGCTGGGAGGAAGTGACAGGCTGTCACTTCCTCCCAGGCGGCCGGCATTACAGGGGCCCAGTCGCGGCACTCGACCGATTCCCTGTTGAGCAGAAATGTTTCCCTGGTTCTATAATCATAGCACCGGGGAAACATTCTGCGGCACCCCTGTGTGCACGTCGCGTCACACAGTTTGGTTATTTTCCAATTTATGTAATACAAGCTTAGCTTATGTTTGTTATCCAATTGATACCTTTGTCCTTCCAGTCATAATTTTGTTACTAGGTAATCAATGTAACTTTGAAAAGTTACATTTTTTTTTTTTTAATTTACTAAACTATGAATTGTGTCCAATAAAACTTCAATTGGCAAAACAGACTAAAATATCTGATGTTGAAATTGTTCAATTAAGCCGTAGTCACAGCTTGACTGTTCTACCCTCAGTTTTTCAATTTACATTTCAATTGACTAAAATTCTGAGTTTAATAAATAAACCCTATACCATAGAAGAATATTGGAACTTTTATTTACAGATGGTTTGCTGCAGTGTGAACACATTTATACAATGATATATGAAATTAAACATTATTGCTAAAATTATGATTCTTTTTCTTAAAACAATCAAAAACAAGAATCTATGTATAGAATACACTATATACAAGTGTGTTCACCTATCTCTCACTGTTTGTGTTGATAATTAAAAGATCACTATAGGGTCAGGGACACAAACATGTATTCCTGACCCTATAGTGTTAAAACCACCATCTAGCCCCCCTGGGCCCCTCATGCCTCCATAAATATAGCAAAATCTTACTGTATTCAAGCCTGAAGCTGTAGCTCTGCATGCTGTTGCCTTAGAAAAACTGTCAGTTTGCTGAAATCATCAGAAGTGATAGCTTGATCCAATCATAGTGCTTCCCCATAGGATTGGCTGAGACTGACAAAGAGGCAGATGAGGGGCAGAGCCAGCATGATTCAAACACAGCCCTGGCCAATCAGCATCTCCTCATAGAGATGAATTGAATCAATGAATCTCTATGAGGAAAGTTCAGTGTTTGCGTGCAGAGGGAGGAGACACTGAATGTTTGGATGCATTTTAGGCAGCCATGACCCAGGAAGGATCTCTAACAGACATCTGAGGAGTGGCCAGTGAAGTTATCACTAGGCTGTAATGTAAACACTGCATTTTCTCTGAAAAGACTCTGTTTACAGAAAAAAGCCAGGTTGTAATGATTCTACTTACTAGAAAAAAATCAATAAACTGTAGTTGTTCTGGTGACTATAGTGTCCCTTATGTTATACTGTTATATATTGTTACACTGTGTTTTTGCATGAGACACATTGTATGCATACTTGGGATTATTCATATACTTAAATTTAGTTTGAAATTTACATAGAATTTATTGCTTTTGCACACCATTATTTGTATTTGTTTTTATAGATTTTTTTCCCAAAAAAAATGTTTTGATGGTTGGAGCACGGTAGAACTATTTTTTAACAGTGATGAAATATTAATTGCACTGAAACATTATTTGCACTTTAGTAACTGCACTGTACACTGTAATATTGCACTGCATCACTTTATCACTTTATAAGTTTTATTAACTTGACTGATATACATAAGGAAAAGTAGTCTCCATTATTCTTTATGTAAGTTATGGAAACTAGAGTTCTCGGGAAATAAATATGACAATAATTCAGACACAGTTAGCTATATAGAAGCATAATTGATACATTTTATTTTCAATGACCGATAATATAACAGTCCTTTCATCACATTTTAAAAAGAAATAGATTTTTTTTTAAAATTAGTATATGTAAAAAAATGAGAAAACTCATCCCTACATTTAGTATATGACAGTATCCTTTAGCCATACACATGAACAGTCAGATAATGTTTGGAAACCAACAGTCTCCATAGTTTTCCCAGTTTCATTTAAAAAATCTATTTCCTTTCCAAACTTAATAAAAGAACTATTATATGAAGAAAATAGTATTATGGTGACAGTTGTCCTTTAAGTATAGAATGTGTGTGTCTCTGTCTGTTGTAGAAATTCCACAATACATAGAATGCTACACTATTGATAGTAGATAACTTTTTCCAAATGGTTATCACAGCATTATGTCATGCATACTTCACCAACAGGTGGAGAGTCATAACTTTGCCTTGTCTTAATTTAATTCTCACCATATATTTATACTTGGCACCATTCTCCCCTATGGACACTAGGTGGCGATATTCCACCATTTCCTCATGTAATACAATGTAAGGAAAGATACCTTATATCGCCTAACTGTTCTGATTGCCTTTTAACCTTTCCCAATTAAAGGACCACTATAGTGCCAGGAAAACATACTCGTTTTCCTGGCACTATATTGCCCTGAGGGTGCCCCCACCCTCAGGGACCCCCTCCCGCCGGGCTCTGGGGAGAGGAAGGAGTTAAACACTCACCTTTCTCCAGCGCCGGGCGGGGAGCTCTCCTCCTCCTCTCCGCCTCTTCTCCTCCTTTTCGGCTGAATGCGCATGCGCGGCAGGAGCTGCGCGCACATTCAGCCAGTCTCATAGGAAAGCATTCATAATGCTTTCCTATGGACGCTGGCGTCTTCTCACTGTGATTTTCACAGTGAGAAGCACGCAAATGCCTCTAGCGGCTGTCAATGAGACAGCCACTAGAGGCTGGATTAACCCATTTATAAACATAGCAGTTTCTCTGAAACTGCTATGTTTATAAAAAAATGAGTTAACCCTAGCTGGACCAGGCACCCAGACCACTTCATTAAGCTGAAGTGGTCTGGGTGCCTAGAGTGGTCCTTTAAGGACAAGGTTTTGCGCTTCATTTAAAAAAAAAGGAAAATATTACCCAAAATCGGATTGTAATTGCCAGTGGAGACTGAGCACATTTAATGCTGTCTTTAAAACCAATTTTATTCCGCTGCTAATGTTTTCATAGGTCATTTAATTTAGTCTCACAAAGAGTGTGTTGATAGTTAATATCTGTGCTTACATATGTAGAAATTTCTGCCAGAAATACTTACCTTTGCACCTTCTGCAGCAGGGGTAGTCCTTAGCATTTGCCCTTAAATCTTATCTTTTAATCTTGCATTCAGATTAATAGACATATATATACATAATACAATACAATAAAACATAAATCCTGTTTTCCATGAAAAGCACAACTTCATAGGACTGCAACAAACTCAGTTTTTCACAATTAGAGAGATGCTTATATTGAAACACCACATTTCAATGTAAAAATATTTTAACACTTGTTTATAGTAATTCACATCATGTGCTGTGATGCATTAGGTTATCATAATCCATACATTAAATGCCAGTATTCTTTTTATACACCATATTTAACACCCTATTTACATTATTTAATCCTAAATTTGTCATTTTAAATGCAAAATCCCAACACTTATTTTCCACATTAAATTCTTCAACTACAAATTATCTTATATT